ATAAAAAATACAAAACGATAAAATGTATTTTGGAAAATAAAAATCCTATATAAAAAAACTTCTTAGACGACGTAACACGTACTTTGAAATTTAAATATAACACAAACGTCACGTAAGTTTTATTATAAAAAGGTGATAAAATAAAAAAAGATATAGTTTCGAGTTTGTTAGTTAGTTCGTATTTGTTGTTGAAGTTATTTGGTATCTAGTTTTGTGCATATTTATTTATACACGAGGGCCAAGATGGTCAATGTTAATAGCGGGGTTATCGAAATAGCGCACATACTCCGCCTATCACGTAATGGTCTGCAGGTTTGGATTTCATTCTGAAAGCTTTTTGTTGCCTTCTCACACCTGAACACAAGCTAATTGGCCACACTTATTTGCATACACGTGCGACAGGCGTCAAAGGTTTTGCGCTGCTTGTCACCGATAAATGTGAGCACAAAATAACAGTTTCCTTTTAAGAAAAACACAGATAGTATCGAATTATAAAATATTAATTGTTTAATTAATTGTAATGTTCTATTGATTTTTGTTGTGTAAATGATTTTTTAAAATTATTCATAATTTTTGGAGATTTATTCTTGTCCATGCCGCTTTATTTGAATTAAATATGATGTTGGGGCGTCAGTGGCCGCAACAGTTTAGGCGTTGACACGGCGCTCATCACTGTAAGGTGAAGGTCCCGGGTTCGAATCCAGCGGCCCTGCATTCAAACCCGACATACTTACAAATGGGCTTTTTTTTCCAAAAACATCGGCACCCCGAGGGTAGTTGAAATACCCTCGTTAAAAAAAAAGTAAATAAGTAAATATATATGTATGCTGTAATGTTGGGCTCTATAATTGTAATATAATTTTTTGCAGTCTCTGTAAATAATAAGTATAATTATTGTTTAAATTGATTTATAATGTTTATGTAAAGTGTGTTGAGAAGAAAAGTTAAGTCTCACAAGCGGGACTCGAACCCACGACCTCCCCGTGGGTTCGTCGAGTCCCGCTCGTGAACTAATTTTTCATCTCAACCACACTTTACATAAAAATTATAAATCAGGTTAAATAATCACTTTTGTTAATTAGGCCCAACTAAAAACATGTAGATAATTATTGTTGTTGAAGAAAAAATATTTTGTATGTTCAAATCAAAAATATTTTTCAGGGATAAGATTTACTTTAATAAATAAATCATCCTTGCCACTTCTAATTTAATTTTCGAATGATAATTTTTTCAAATTAAATTTTCTTGACGTAGCGCAAGCCTTCGATCGAATCTGGCACCGGGAGCTTCTCTTCAAGTTATAGGCTCTACTCCCATCTACTACCTGATCCTAAGATCTACCTATCCAAAATCTCTTTCTTTCTTGTCGGGGCTGGAGTACGCAAGGAAGCATCCTAGGTCCTCTTCTATATACGATTTACACTGCCGATATCACCCTAAATCCTAAAACATCTTTCGACACTTATCCTTTCCTCGCATCAAAACTCAGAAATAGCTACCTCCAACATTGAAAGCCATCAATAAATAGATCAAAAAATGGAGAATAAAAATCAATCTAAATAAACGCATCCACATGACCTTTACTCCCCGCCGAGCATTCCATCTCCCTGCTTTAATAACTAGTACTTATACCAATTGCTGACATAGAAATATCAAGGCATGTTTCTCTATAAAAGACTGACATGGAACCCCTACATTAATATGAAAAGACAGGAATTTAACAAACGATATGAACTTGTAAGTACGATCAAAACTTACACTAACGAACAAACTGTTAATATACAAGACAGTACTCCGACCCATCTGGACCTAAGGAATAGAACTGTGGGACTCAACCAAACGCCCCAAATCCAAAATAATTCAGTAACTGCAGTCAAAAATTCTCCATGAGAACATCAATGCCCCTTATTACGTCTCGAACTTTACCCTACACAACGACCTCCAAATTCCTTTTATTAACCTTTCCCGTCATACAAAATTCTATAACTCCATATATGCACACTAACCCACATTTCCAACAAATTCCCTACAAAATTCCGTCAGATCAACCCGCCGTCTGAATCGGCAATGGCCAAGGGCCCTACTTAATAACAATAGGTTAGATCGTAATGTCGTACCGTTTATGTACATACACATTTGTATATGATTTTTTCACTAACTGTTAAATTTGTTAATAAACATAATATATATATTTCAATTAATTAAGGTTTTTAGTTGAGATATAAAAGTCAGTGTCACGAGCGGGATTCTAACCCACGATCTCTGGCTAGATACGCCGCTGCTCTACCACTTGAGTTCACGATAGCTCAAGTGGTAGAGCAGCGGCGTATCTAGCCGAAGATCGTGGGTTCGAGTCCCGCTCGTGACACTGACATTTTTGTCTCAACTAAAGACCTTAATTAATTGAAAGATATTAATTGGTCAAGCGGATCACGAAAAATAGTGAATTTAATAATATATATAATTTGTTTGTTGCATCTCTAGATGCAGGTACAAATTTCGTACAAATTTAAAATAAAAATCTAAAATTGACACCAAGCATTATTACAAGCAGTTTTATGGATTTAGCCTTGGTACTTATATAATTTTTTAAACCAGGAACTAGATGTTGATTAAGGGCCCTTGGCAAATTAGGGTTCATTCTACTGGTCACGGAAACCGAGCCTGGACTTCATTAGTGCATAGCGTTTCAATCGAGTTCTTTTATCTTCTAGGAAGCCTCGTATGACTTTCGGTAAACCGTTTACTGACCCTTACAGAAATTACAAAAACTTAAAATATTGGATTATTTGTTAAAACTCTCTTTTGCCCGGCCTTCAGATAGTTAATTATGTTTGCAAAAGTAATTGAGAAAGCACGATGTCAGCTTGTTGAGCGTTTTCTAATTAATGGGTCAGGTCTGAAACAGAAATAAGTCGAGTGAAAATAATTTGTAACACCCTTCACTTGGAATTCCGGCTATTTCAACGGACATCTAATTTCTAGATGAAGCTTAGGCGGATTTTTGAAAACGGAAAGTCAGCTTCTTCACCGTGCTCCAAAAGGAGTCCAGGACGGGTCCCTCGTGACTGTGGATACGTATCGTCTCCCTGCAGTTTGTGAATCAAAATGAATTATTGTTATTTTGTATTTGCCTCGGATTCTAGAACGTTGCGAGAATCTGCTTATTTTGCTCGATCGTTGCAGGTGAATAGTGGCACGTTTTCAATAATAGTACGTAACATCCTCCACATCCGTTTCCTTTACGCTTTATACTCTGTGGAAAATCTGTTACACCAGTTTCCGAAAAATTCGAGGAAATGTTCTATCCTTTTTAAAGGGTGGCTTTTTTTTCAGTGATGTAGATATTGATTTGAGAGACATATAGTTGACTGACTTTTTTCGTTTTAAAATATGGGTTGATGTTAACCATGAAACTGTAATTTATGCACCGCTACAGCGTAAAATAATCCATGTAAAATAATAATTTTATTTGATTTATTTCTTAATTAACATAAAATTTAAACAATTATGCAAAATGGCGCCGTTTCACTTCGAAAAGTAGGATAATGCTGGCTTAATTTAAAACTGAACTCGTACAAAGGACTCTCGATTGAACATAAATTGTTTTACCCGACACCAATTTCATTCTTACTCAGAAGCTATGATTTTTGAATTAGAATTTTTATTTTTGTTGACAATACATTTGATTACTAATCACTAGGCATTTAATACTAAATTGGTATATTATTGAATCATTGCACTGAAATTAATTGAATTATTATACGGCCAACTACTTAACAAAATTCTTTCTATAATATAATTGGTTAGTGACTGTGCAAGACTCACCCAATGTTGGAGAGATTAATTGAATATTTTGTATACAGCTAATTTATTTCAACTGATACCATTTCTTCAGTACCACTCTCGTTTCTGAACTGTGACAAAACATAATTTTACCTATGTAAAAAATGTAATTTTAATTATAAAATAGGTCTTTGTTCCTTCGAGTATGCTATATGTGTTATTTATTGGAACGAATGTAATTTATTAGCGTGAATGGAGGATCTATCCCCAATCACCTCGAGGAATATCGGTACTCTTAGGTAGTAGGAACGTAATTTATTAGCGTGAATGGTGGGGCTATCCCTAATTACCTCGAGGAATATCGAGTACTCTTGGGCAGTGTGAACGTAATTCATTAGGCTATCCCTAATCACCTCGAGGAATATCGAGTACTCTTAGGTAGTAGGAAAGTAATTTATAAGCGTGAATGGAGGGGCTATCCCTAATTACCTCGAGGAATATTGAGTACTCTTAGGTAGTAGGAAAGTAATTTATAAGCTTGAATGGAGGGGCTATCCCTAATCACCTCGAGGAATATCGGTACTCTTAGGTATTAGGAACGTAATTTATTAGCGTGAATGGTGGGGCTATCCCTAATTACCTCGAGGAATATCGAGTACTCTTGGGCAGTGTGAACGTAATTCATTAGCGTGAATGGAGGGGCTATCCCCAATCACCTCGAGGAATATCGAGTACTCTTGGGCAGTGTGAACGTAATTCATTAGCGTGAATGGAGGGGCTATCCCCAATCACCTCGAGGAATATCAAGTACTCTTAGGTAGTAGGAAAGTAATTTATAAGCGTGAATGGAGGGGCTATCCCCAATCACCTCGAGGAATATCGAGTACTCGGGTAGTTTGAAGTAATTTATTAGCGTGAATAGAGGGGCATATCCCAATTTACCTCGAGGAATATCAAGTTGTAGTGTGAATGTAATTTATTAGCGTGAATTGAGGAGCATATTCCCAATTACTAGAGTACTTTGGGGTAGTGTGAATGTTAACCAGACTAATCTTATTTTTATGTTGTTTCTGAGTATTTGTATTTGTTATTTTTGTTATTTTATCCATAATTGATGAGGCCCTGAGGTGCTCACAATAGGATAAAGGATGAATATGACTATTAGTCAGGTATTTTATTTTATTTTATTTATTTTATTTTATTTTATTTTTCAGTTCAATTGTTTGTTTTCTACTCAGTATTCTATATATTCCTATCTATACTGTTTGCAATATGCATGGCTGGAATGTTAGCAACGCTAGATGAAAAATATCCTACATGGCAGTTGGACGATTCCCTCATCGGTTCAAACCCTGGTGAGATGTTTTACATCCTTAAGTATTACACAACCTACGACTGAGTAGAATTTCAACAGATAACTTTATCTGAACTGTGAACAGATTAGAGAGAATGTTTGAGGAGATTAAATTTTACAATAGTGTCTTGTTTATCGCACTAAATGCCGTTTGCAACACAATGCCAATTTTTGCTTTATTTCTTTTAGAAAATTTAGTACAGTTTTTGCACAGGTCTTGGCTTTCGGCCTATGCCCCCCAACATCGACGAGGGTTCGCTTATCTGGTATATGCCGTCCAATAAATCTACTGTTGATTTTTGGGTAAATTCAATAGATGGCTTTTTAAAAGGTAAGCATTGAATAATTAAATAATGATATAGTCCTACTGATACTTATGTATTAATAAAGGATCAATACGTCAGTCAATCTCTTATTAAATTTTAATTAAATATGTTTTATATGATAGAGTATCGAGAGCCTCCTAGGACAAAAGGTGTACGACAGGTCTGCGACTATGACCGGCCAGCAACGCCTGGTAAAGTGTGTGATGTAGACGTCAACAACATCATATGGCAAAAATGTACACAAACAGAAAAGTATGGCTATATTTCTTCATCGCCCTGCATTTTTCTCAAACTCAATAGGGTAAGAATTAAGTACATATGAGAGCAACACATCAAAATCTATGATGTGATTCAATTATAAAAGTTAAATAATAGAAAGCTCCACGTTTTTATTAAATCAAGAGAATAACAAACAAAGCAACAATTTTTTTCCTTTTCATATTTATATGCTTTAAAAGTGATATCCAAAATAGATAAACCGTACTTTTTTTATTCAGATATTTGGTTGGGAGCCTGTGTTTTATAATGACACAAATGATTTACCTCAGGACATGCCTGATGATTTGAAGGATTATATAAAAAAAGTTGCTATAGATAAGGAAAAGGTATTTTCTGATCTATTACACGCCCCAATTTATTATTGACAATTTTAAAAATTGTGTCTATTTATTAGCTTAATACCATATGGGTGAGCTGCCACGGAGAAGGGCCGTTTGACAATGAGAATGTCGGGCCGATCGATTATTACCCTCAACCAGGATTTCCAGGCTATTACTACCCTTTTCAAAACCAAGAAGGTTATCTCAGTCCTCTTGTCGCAGTACACTTTAAAAATCCAGCCAGTGAGTATGCAAAACTAGGTTGATTTTTTTATGAAGACTTACACCTCTATGATTTCCAGTGCACAGCCTCATAAACATAGAGTGCAGAATATGGGCAAAAAACGCTTTCTACAGAAAGAATCCCAAAGATAGGGAAGGTGCCGTACATTTTGAGATCCTTCTCGACTGATCGGAGCTGTTCAGTCTTGTGCATTTTCAGTATTCTACATTGTATCAGTAAAATCTTTTTGAAAACAAGTCAAAATATTCAGGTGACTGTCATAAAGTCTAGTCTTGGGACAGGATTGAAGGCTATTTCTGATCTCAGTTATTATCTCATTCACTATGATCAAAGTACTTAAGTAAGATGGGTGCAAAATCCTTTTGTTAACAAATGTTTCAATCTTTATAAAACCTGATATACTTTTCTTTAATTTTTTTTTTAAATTTCATTATTGGAATTTTTCTTTCAATATTTAATTTATACATTATGAAAAAAAATTATGTTAATTTTATTTAATAGATTACTGTGATTGTTAAATAATTATGTTTTATTAAAAATTTTGTTTGTTTAAACCTCTCCTTTTCTCCTACTTCTTTGTTGTATACAAAATATTTAAGTATTTAAATAAATACGTGGCCTCCACTGTACATCAACAACAAAGAGATACTGACATCCACTCAAGTCTAATACCTACTATATCTAGACAGCAGACTGTTTTGGAATCCCCATGCTTGCAAGGGACAAAACTTAATAGAAGACTTGGACATTAGAAAGCCTTCTAGGACTAAAATCTGAGGTGACCATCAAAACTAACCTTATACAAGCCTTTACTGTGACCCCTTTGGAATCAGAGTAGAACTATGTGGTGCTGCCTAGCCATCTAACATCCAGCGCATCCAATCCTTCCATTCAAAAGTCTTCAGGCAAATTGCCAAAGCTCCTTACTACATCACTAACCTCACTGTTCACAACTCCAGAACAAACTGATTCATTCCCAATTCCAAAAGTTTCACACCAACCTCTTAATCCATCCTTAACCCTACTGCTCCCTATTCTCACCCAACAAAACTTAACAAAAGACTTGGACACTAGAAAGCCTTCTAGGACTAAAATCTGGGGTGACCATCAAAACTAACCTTATACAAGCCTTTACTGTGACCTCTTTGGACATATGGAGTGGAACTGTGGGGTTCTCTGCCAAGCCATCTAACATCCAATCCTTCCATTCAAAAATCCTCAGACAAATTGCCAAAGCTCCTTACCTCACTAACCACACTGTCCACAACGAACTGATTCATTCCCAATTCCAAAAGTTTCACACCAACCTCTAGATCCATCCTAACCCTACTGCTCCCTATTCTCACCCTCATCTCAGAGTTGGTGTTAGTACTGTACAGAAAGGAATTCTTTCAGCCATCTTTTTTGCTTAGGTTGTACAAGTCTTCACGTTTCTTTTGATTATTTGGTTGAAGTGGGTAGACTAGGCATTTTCTACATGACATGTGCTGTAATGCAAGCTTGTATTTTAGTGAGTTCTTTTTGTTTGGCAATTCCAGTTCTTCCTACAGGTCTTAAGAGGGGAACACAACCAACTCAACGCAACGTGACCCGATGCTAATCTGATGTCCAATTTTTCATAAGATTTCATTACCCCTGTGCACATTTGCCTGATGTGATGCAACGCCACTCTATGCTACACAATGCAACCGAGTTCTCCACTGTCCAGATTTTGGTTGAGTACACTTAAATACAAAAGAACCGGATACTCATATTTTTTGTTGTTTATTTCGAACTATATGTAGTTTTGTTAGTTATTAATGCTAACATGTATACAAAATCTACATATGTTTTAATAAAAACTATTTAATTATGATGGTTTGATAGAAAATTTACCAAAAGGTAAAAAAATTGTTAGTTTAATTTTACTTATTCATTATATATATATATATATATATATATATATATACAAATTTTACAAGTTAAATACAATAATGAATCAATCAGCATTTTCTTTCTTTTCGAATATTGAAATAGTAATAGGTCAACGGAAGTTTTTTTGAACTTTCTTCTTTTCATTTCTATTGTATGAATACTAACTACTTTCCCTTTCTCATGTTTGAGAGATAGACCCCAACATAATAACAGTTGTTTTTTACATGAAAAATTATTTTTAAGAAAAACTATCTGCTGGATTTGGGAAGTTAATTTAATTTGTACAAAAAGATATTTTTACTTCATTTTCCTAAGAAGTAATAGGATTTTCTCTTAAACCGAACATTTTATATTGTCATTCACTCCTCATCTTTCCCTATCTCAACACCTTGACCCTAGAATTTCCGCTGCAAAAACAGGTTTAATCTGCATTTGGGTAAATCTCTTTTGCAATAATCTCGAACCTTATGAAGCCAAAATAAAAGTTTACAACAGTGTACTGCTCTCTGTTGTGTTATGGAGCTCAAGTCTGGGGCTTCCCCGTTTTAGAAAAATTAAGGTTTTTAGTTGAGATAAAAAATTCAATGGCACGAGCGGGATTCGAACCCACGATCTTCGGCTTGATAAGCCGCTGCTCTACCACTTGAGGTCACGATAGCTCAAGTGGTAGAGCAGCGGTGTATCAAGCCGAAGATCGTGGGTTCGAATCCCACTCGTGCCATTGAATTTTTTATCTCAACTAAAAACCTTAATTATTTGTAATATATTAATTGGTCAAGCAGACCACGAAATTAGTGAATTTAGTTTTAGAAAAATTTCAAAGATTTTTTTGTGAAGAACCTTCTCAATTTACCATCTTTTCCCTCTAATTACACACTAATCCTAGAATCCTATTTGCCTTCTTTATTTTCATATTCCTTTTCCGTCCACCTCAAATATATTTAAAATACTGAGCCTCCCAGAGGAGCAACTGTCTAAAATTACCGCTCGACAGATAATTAGTAAGAATATCTCTTGGTTCAGTCAATGAATATCTCTAGCGCTCAGTTCAGGAGATTTGTGTTCTTTTAGAGCTTCCCAATAAAATAGTGAAGTAGCTGAGAATAGGGCAAAGTACAGAGAGGTTTTACTTGTATTAGACAATTTTTGATGAGTGCTTATTTTCTTAAAAACCCAGCCTTTTCCAGGATCTCAAACTTAGAGATTCTCGACACATACAATATAATCTATCCACTCTGTAACAGTAATGCCCAGGCAGATTTGTATCACTTTCTAGGAATTTCTTCACTACTTTCAGAATCACAGGTATCTTTTGATTTTTATTTTTTTAAATTGTACTATTAGTTCTCAAGAAGTATGTTTTTTTTTAAATTCCTATTCTTTTTTCATATTTTATTTTCCTTTTCATTCCCATACCTGATTTATATAAATAATATAATTTTCTCAATAGATTTCTTTTATGTATTTTAATTTTTTCTTTTTTTATCACTTATAATATACCTGTAATTAATTAATTAAGCTTTATTATGCAGGAAACTCAGCAGACAACTACCAGCCATGATTATTATACTTTGTCCCATTTGCTTGTGTTTTTATTATTATTATGTATTGTAACTTTCATACTTGCAATTTAGAATTCCCAGTTACTTTAATTTTGCAAAATTTCTTTCCATTTCACAAAAGAAGGTTCAGTTAAGGTCACTAGAATTAAGCAGGGAATACACTTTCCCGATTTCATTGGATTTGTGTCGGGTGGCTTCGGGTTACATCACGTTGTGTCTCGTAAATCCCCCCCCGCTTTAGATTCCAATTTCAGCAAAGCCCATGGAATTTGAGTTTAATTTTTTAAAAATTTTGGTTGGTCCGTGGTTCTATTCCATCATCTGCAAGATCCAATCAGTGTTTAAACACTAAGCCCTTCTGTACAATATTTATAGATAAGTAAACTTTTATACTAAAGTTGTACAGGATTAAATTACAATTCCTTAATCGATGATTAATTGAAGTAGATTTTTTTTTGAATTGCAACCGTCAAAACAAAAAGGGAGAAAGAAGGACAAATAACTTCTTGTAGTATATTTTCCAAATTTTTGCAGATATTCATATAATTTAATATAACGGTAAAGTTTATTTTTAACATTTCCTTACTTCGAAAATTTTTAATGAATAAATAAGTCTCAATTCTTCTTTTTAATTATAATATAAAAACTTTCTATAATGTATTGTCATTTTACTTACAAATTTTTCAGTAAATATCCTTACTTAAAGAGAAATTGATTAAAACAAAAACAAAACAATCAAATTATATTCTGCCCCTTGAGGAGTCAGTAAACTAATTTTCGTTGAACTTCTGAAAATAATTTACATCTGTGCACTTGGATAGTAATAACAACAGCATCTCACTACTCTTACTCATGGCTTTTTATCATTTTATGTTAACTAATAGATATCTATTTCAAAATAGAGCACCATTTAAATATATGCATATGAATATAATATTATTGTTTATTTGTACTATTGAAAGAATGAATTATTTACGAGACATTTTATAATAAAAAAATAAAATTATATTTCATTATTATGAGATTACGATTTTTGACTTTTGTCAATCGTTTATTTCGCTTACTTAGGTTATAAACATTTTACACTATTTTAAATATAATTATTGGTCTATCATTTTTTCAACATAAATATATTTTATAACAGCATTACCTAAGGATTCTTAAACAGCCCTCGTTAATAGTCCTATTTCCAAAATATTGTATTTACTTTTACAAAACTATATTTAATCAAAATCCAGGTAAATCATCATTATACAATATTTACAACAAAATTATAATCAAGGAACAGGGAATACAATTAATAAACACTTTTTGCAAGATTTACTTGGGTGGGATAAAAAAAAAGTGACCCTACTTGCAACTGAATAAGTGCTAAGAAACTAAATCTAAAAATAGATTTTGTGTATTTACAAATAATTTAAGCAAAGTTATTCACAGTGAATTTTAGGTACATTGATAATAAGTCCTTCCATCATTCATACAGGTAACCCTTAGAAATTAAATGTTTGATTTTTTAATAAACCGGTGATAAGTCTAGAGTTAGATTCCGGATAGCCATGTTGCGAGTAGTGCGAGATGATTTGATTATCTGCAAAACCATCGTTTTGCAGTCATGGCATACAGTCATTTGCAGACCCTTGAGTTTTTCCGCTTTCTGTCTGCCTACAGTCTTTGATTTTGCCATCCTCCACCTAAAAAATAACTTCGTAAAAAAGCAGCAAAGACTAAGGGAAGTTGAAACAGCGTACTTGTCACTTGGGGTACACAGAGGACTCGAAGGGGGAAGAGATATAGGGCCATCGGATATTAGGCTTGTCGACATCTGAGAAGGTGGAGCTGATCTCGATATTTTCGGACTCGTCGGTGCGCTCCCGACACCACTCCTCTCAGTAGCCATCAATTTTGTCACCAGTGCCCTCGGAAAAGAGTCGTCAGCCTCGCTTGGCGACAGCATACTTGGGCTAAGGGCTACCACAGGTACGTGTGAAAAATGCTCTGTTGGTATCCGCATCTGTACAAGAACAAATAAATTTATCGTTAGATTTTTTTTTTTTTTAATTAAAAAGACTATAGTTTAAAATTGAAATATTCTTTCTTCCAGCTATATATAATGTCAATATTTAACTTCATATATGCAGCACAAATAAAATTGTAAAAATGAACTTTTAGAAGAAGTACTTTAGGAAAGTGGTACTACAGAAGAGAAATTCTACTATCTATTATATAAATACACCATAAATATGGATAATAAATCTATTGAAAATATATCCAATTTTAATTTTATTATTTTTTGTTTCGTTAAAGAAAGTTCACAACAGCAGAGGTGATCACGATCAATGATAAAAACCCAAGTAAGGCCGCTGGATTCGAACCTGGGTACTTTAGCTTACAGCGATGTGCGCTGTGTCAATGTCCTTCACTATTGTGGCCCCCCCTCCACTACATTATTGTTATTATTATATTATTTTCAATTTACCTTGGAATAACATTTGGCACAAACTGTTCTTTTGCAGAGTTTGCAAATCTGTCCCCATGGGCCGAAGATGCCAAATCTCGTTTTCATACAAAGGAAGCATACCTGAAAGTAAATTTTATTTTAACCTTTTAGCAGCTTTTTTGTGCTTTGCCAATAAATATTTCTTTTAAATCTTTATTTATAGTGATAAATTACTATTGATTAGATTCAGTAAAAATTGAAAACTCAAATTTGATGAAGAATAGTTTGCGATTTTTTGCGATGTATTAATTGTGGGCTTGACAATATTATGTGTTGTTCCAGTAATAATTTTGTTTGAGTAAATTTTATTCAGTATAAATATATTGGCTTGTTTTAAATTAAGTTTTAAATTTGATATGAAAGTGCTTGCTTATTTGATTATAAAAGTACCAAATGAAACTAATATCCTTTCAAAGGATTGGCAGGATTCAATAAATTCAGCCTTGACATGTAATTTTTTTACAAATTGTTAAGATTCAATATATAAAAATATATTTTATAATTATAAATAGTATAAATGTTGTACCTTCCGCCTTTCTGCATCTTCTTTTACCCTGCCTTCAACTGGAAGACTCTCAAGTTCGGCTTTGGTCAGGACGCTACGTATATGGACAATTTCTTCAAGAGTGAGAGAAAGACATTCTTCCTGCCACTGTTTCTGAAAAAAATCGCAATAAGCACCAGGATTTCGGGACGCCCGATGCGTTCGAGCCTTTACCGATTTCAGAAGGTCGTCCTGTAAGGATGTCCTTGACCAAGTCATCTCCGGGAGGGTACAGGAGAGCGACTCGTCAGTCGGTGTGTTCGTCTGCCTTGAAGTAGGCCTAGATTGTGGCACGCTTAAGCTCCCTTTGTTGCCCGTCTCGCAGACGACGACCGTATGCCTTCTCATCGAAGCACGCTTACTCGGACATTGAGTAGCTAGATCATAAGCTATAAGACAATAATTATTAACATACCAGCATTTTAAAATATAAATTTGTTTGTGTTTAGTAACATTTTCCAAAGCAGTTTTCTCTTCTCAATTTGCATATGCACTTCTTTAAACGTTATCAGCATTCAGATTTGTTGTTATAGATAATTAGCAACATCATATTAGTAAACAATATTACTTTTTAAAAAAAGCATAATAACAAGAAAAAAAAATTGACTTGCAATAAATTCTTACATTGTCAAATGGCAAGTTAAGCAACATGCATTAGATATTGTCAAGCATCACCGCCAAAACTAATTCTAAATTGTTGTTAGAATAAACAGCAAAGAAATTGATTTCAACATGAATATATTTGTTGGTAGCATTAAACAGTTAGAAATATTAATTTTAAAAAAAAATCAAATCAAATAAATATTAAGTGGAGATTTATTTTTTCATCATACTATCCTACAATAGTCCTCCTTTTTGTTGGTTTTGAACTGATTTTTTGGCAGCATTTTGGAGTTGGATTAGAATAAATTTGTGTTTTCAGCTATTATTTGGATTAAGCACAACTTAAATTGACTTATTTAAGCTTACAGAACACGAAATATTAAAGAAAAACAAGCTTTACAGAGGCAAGCTTTTCAATCTTTTTTTAATTTCTGATTCCTTGAAACTAATAGGAAATAAACAGTGTTAATTGCTCCTTTCACCTTTCACATTGCTTTCATAACGGTTTTACATAGCAGTATTTAACATATATAAATATATCAACACCAAAAATAAATAGATAGATTTGATATGAAAGAAACTACACAATTACATGCAGTTGCAACTTTCTAAGTAATTCTGTAAAAAAATAGTCTCGACATGCTGGTCTAATTGTATTAATTACATAGCTAATAAATTTTTTAATGTTTATTATGTCAGAAACACAAAATACATATTCTGAATGTGAGCACATGTTTAAAATATCGCATGACTGATAAATGATTAATTATGCCCTTTTGCATTATTGCGTATCACAATGACAAGACAGATGGACTGAACAAAGCTCACCTTTCTCACAACAAACTACAATTTTTGTGCCTAATCCAAGCTATGGTGACTGGTTGTTCGGACTGAGATTCAAATAGTATACTATAAGGGCACACATTAATAATAAAATAACGTACTGCAAGAATAATTTATTATCCATTAATATAATAAAATTCGATAATTTATGAACTTACGACAATACAATATATTACAAATTACAATTACATTACTAGATCCATGCACACCTTAAACAACGACAGTACAGGAAGCATTGAAAAAAAAAAAAAAAAATCACATCGATGAACCTCTTTTTTTTAGCTTAATATACATGCATATGTACATAAACATAATTACTATAAAATGTACGCAAGCGCATAACAGTTTTTACTAACTATTTGAAGAGGAATGCTGAAGCATTTAGAATGACTAAATAAAATAAAAATTATAGAAAAAAGAAGAAAAAAAGGTATATTTACAGAGAACATCACCTTTTTTCTTTGTTTTCATAGAAATTTATGATGAGGACAAATTGTACAAATAAATTATATAAAAAATAGTCTAATTATTTTAATTCATATTTTTGCAAAATGTGATGTACTGTGACATGCGAAAGGGGCAAGGAAGGAATTTCATGCGAGGATAAGAATTAAACTGTAACACGTTAAAGGCCGAGAAAAAATAATATACAGATAAAGTGAAATAAATAGCAGTAATAAATAATCTTTGAGCCAAAGGAAACCGTCGACCGAATTTAATCTGTTGTCCAAATGAACATCGGTTGAACCTTTCGGTCAGGCAACAACCATTTCACTAACAAGTACGTCAAATGTCAAAAAAACACATAAAAAGGCGGTTAACGTGTTATTTAATTATATTGTAATATAAACCGTACAGAATAAAGAGAATAGAAAATGAGATCAATTAAAAGAAGAAATCAACGAGATTTATTGAACAAAGTATGAATACTCCGATGCAGAGGTTCAAAGGATGCAACAACTGGATTGGGATTTCAAGGGTTCATTTGGGATCGTACGTTGGAGTGCCGTGTCACAGTAGTGATCTATCTCTGCCTGGGACAGCCTTAGACTACCTGTCCTCTGCCAGGGGTTGTTCTTCGCGTCGCCTTCTTCTCCTTCCTCGTCACCGTCGTCAGTCGCATCCAGGTCTTTGTCTTCCACGTCGAAACCGACCGCCTGGGAACACAAGAGATGGAGAAAGAGAGTTTGAGTAAACACTTGAATTTGTACACATCTATTTGACATCAGTCGCGGGTCTTCCTTCGAAAAACGTCAAGACCCGTTTAAAACCCGGTTGCCCAACATGGTGTGTTAATTCCTAGGGTAATTTTTCAAAAAATATGACTTGGATAGAGGGCCGGGTTTAAGAAGGAAACGCCCAGAAATATCTCGTAGAGAAAGGAACCGCTCAGAGAATAGTGAAAGGGGGAAGAGAACTCGAGAAAAGTCGTGTGAGATAATTCGATCCGCCGAGTACAAATCGAGTCAAAAATTATGTCTTATCCTTCTACATTATTTAAATGTATTCATCAGATGTTATCAAATCTCTAGATTTATTGCAATGAATAAAATACAAATGATAAGTTGAAATTCAAACTTGCAATGAAAAATTATCCTTCCGTCGAACTTTAGAACATTTCGTCTGCCGATTGATGTTATGAATAGAACTATTTATGAATGAAGAAAGAAATCTAATCACAAAAGGAAAATACAACATAATAATAAATAAAAACTTCTTAATACAGCATTGAATGTAAAACCGTCCGCTGGAAGTGGTGGCCGGGAACTCCCAAACAAGGACATACACATTCAAAAATCAAATAAAAGTAAGAGAAAATGAAATCTTGGTGACTGCAATACATAGAACGAAACAAACCACTTATAGGGCTCCTCAATATAAAACTAAAATTAAAATAAATTAAGAAATCAATTGTTCCTAGCTCTCTGCGGTACTCAAGTGCACTCTTAGTAAAACAATCAATTCTGTAGAATTTGGAGAGTTGCGTTTATCTATGAGAAAGGTTCAGGAAACTACCAAAAAACTAGTACCCAAAAAGAGAATCCGCAACTCAGCAAATATGAAAAACTCAGCCAGAGAATAAAAATGGTCATCCCTTGCGGAAGAGTTGCACTGTGAACAGTGTCCTTTTCTATTTTTTGTTTCATGATTATCCTGGGTTAAATAGTTTTTTTTCAGGCTATATCCAGGTATTTAAGTTTTTTATATTATAATTTTTATTTTGGATTTATTTTGGATGTTTTTAAAAGACATTATATATTTTATATTTATCATTTGTGGTTTCATTTTTTTTTATTTTTATTTTTTTTTAACTATAAATGTTTTGTTTTATTTGAGTGTAAATTCCCGAATCGTACAAAAATTGTACTGCGAAAATGAAACAAAAAATATGTAAAAACTTTAGACATGGAAAAGTTTAATTGTTTTTAGGAAAAGTTTAATTGTTTTTAAATAAGTCCACAAGTTATAAATATAAAAAGACATCTTTAAAAAAATCCAAATAATATAAAAATCTTAATATACAAGGGAATAACCGGAAAGAAAAAAAAAATTAGCTAAGGATAATCAAAATCATGAAATAGAAAAGAGTCTTACAAGATTCTGATGATGGGTGTACATTCCCGACGTCCTCAAAACTTGACATAAAAACAAAACAAAAAATGTATAAAAAAAGAAAAATTTTTTTAAAATAAAACCAAAAATTATAAATGTAAAAAAGTCATCTTTAAAAAAATCCACGTTACATAATAAAAATTATAATATAAAAACCTTAAATCAAGGGAATATCCTGAGAGAAAAAAATTTAATCAATGATGATCAATCAAATATAGAAAAGGTTCTTACAACAGATGTAAAACGGTCTTCTATCTTTAAAAAAAACTATACCTATATAATGAAAATTTATATTGAAAAAAAGATGCTGATGATGGGTGTAAATTCCCGAACGTCATAAAAATTTAACATAAAAATAAAACATACATGTATAAAAATTGAAAAGCCTTTTTTTAAATAAAACCAAAAATTATAAAAATAAAAACATCTTCAAAAATCCATGTTACATAATAAAAATTATAATATAAAATCCTTAAATACAAGGAAATAACGTGGAAAAAACGATTTAATCCAGGATAATCAAGAATGAATAATGGAAAAGGGCCTTACCATGCAAAATGGTCATATATCTTAAAAAATAAACGCAAAAATAGCCCAATTACACAGAAAACAAACACTGAGTTAATAGAAATACTTTGATTGAATATAAAAAATATTTTTTGCATTGTATAAATTCACTTTTTTCCACATCCTACATGTATATGTTAAATTTAAACAATGCTTGTAAATCCCAGGCCCTGAAAATAAAGATCGAAACGTTGGCTCGATAAAGAAAATGTTTTTCTGAAACCTACATCACACCAGACCGCATCTCACGATTTCTGAATAATCACTTATTAATATAAAAAAGACATAAAAAATCCACGTTACACAATAAAAGTTGTAATATAAGTACTAGTTTAACTAGTCTGATCACCAATTGAATGACTTATGGAACAAAATACAGATACAATTACAATCTAGTAAATTTCATTAATGATTTTGTAGACGAATGTCTGTCTTCCCAATGTATCCCAAACAATCAAGTCCTTAGTGAAAATAGTCTTTTATTTTTTTCCTGAACATCAAATGATATACAGAAAACTTAAAAAAATAAATATATATTTTTGAAACATATCTAAAAGAGAAGTGGTCGGAAAATGCCGTCGGTTCCGCAAAGGGATTTACATTTGATAGGTCAAGGGTCGTACAGAATCGGGTCAAGGCTTAGCGCAAGCGTACGCGTATCGAACGAACATGGAGTATGCCACCATCAATGGAAAACCACGCGTATCTGCGGCAAACTCGAGTTTTCTTATTCTTTTTGATGATCTAGTAACCGGGAAAAACCACCCGTGAACTAATTTGCACTCGTACCCAAATTTACGACTCTGAAGTATTTACTATCCTAAATCATTTGATTATCCATTATGATTAGCGGATTAAACTAATGGAATAAAAATCGTATCGTCAATTAACCAATCCTTTTTTGCTCTGCAGAATCTGTGGTGACATGCTGCCTAGAAAGTGATTACGTCTATTGTAGGCGAAGAAATGAAGCTAAATGTTTAAGGATCATCAGCAGCCTGTGATTATTTCAGCCAACTTAATAAAAATTAACGATTCTTATTTGGTGTACAAAAGATTTGCAGTTTTAAATGTCAGAATCTCATTTAAGTTTTGCCCCTTATCTGCACATGGAAATATGTATTATTACTTTATTTTTATGATATTATTGTTAAAACGACATATTCAAAAGTTTTACAAATTACACTAGATTGCAATAATATATGAGGCTTTGGTAAATATTTATAAAATAGTCTGTTGGCGACGATAGTAATTTGCTATAAGATATTAATTCCGTTACATAAGATTTCAAATGAAAATAAAATGACTGTATTTATTAGCGCGAATGTTATCTTTAGGTGTCTATGTAATGGAATATCATATACCAAAAAAGTCTAAGTTATTTGGCTTTATTTATATCAGCAGTATTGTAGGAGGTACTGGCGAAATATCAAAAACCCTGATGACTATTCAATTGTGAGAATGTATTTAATAGCTAAATCCATTACAGTTTGTGGTCCGATTGAGCAATTAACATTTTTCAATTAATTAATATTTATGAAAGAAGGTATTGGTTAAGATAAAAAGTAAGCGTCACGAGTTAATAAATTAATTGAAAAAAGTATTTAATAGCGATAAGTGTGTATGTAAACGGTCTGTTTGGAACATCGAGTAGTGCGGAGTGTGAATGCATGATTTTTACTGTGTTTGAAGGTATTTATTGGCGTAAAAGAAGGGTGGTCATGATTTTAATGCATTGTACGCGTAGGGTCTCAGCAGTATATCGAGAACTCATGAGATCCTTCAAACTTAAGATAGAAAATCTTTTAAATAGCGTAAATTTTAAATGTGTTTTCTATTAACTAGGATATTTTAACTGCATGTGGAAAACCTTCGATGAGTTTGCAAATAAGTGACAAAAACGAAGGAAAGAAGAGGGCTGGTTATAAATCCTAAGACATCCAAAAGGAACCCAGATAACGTTTTTAAAAAAGCGAGCAAAAAAGTTTTCTGCTTTGTTCTTGAAGCATAAATATTATAATGTTTATTAGACAGTTGTTTGTTAAATTTTTTAAAATGATTTTTATTTCTTTTGTTGTATATGACAAAATCAATACATGGTTTTTTAAACTTTACTTTGGATTTGATAAAAACCACGTTTTTCCCTCATTTGAAAAATATTATATGTAAATATATTAGTATTAATCTGCTAGAAAGCGTGGGTAATTCTTGTCTGCCTCTTAACAAACCATGAAAGAATTCTCAGTTAACAATTACAATTCAATAAAATCTGGTCAAGATTCTCTTGGTCACAATAAAAGAAGAAAGTGAGTTCGTTTGAGAGAGATAGATAGCTAGATAGATAAATGGATATATATATATATATATATAGAGAGAGAGAGAGAGAGAAAGAGAGAGAAAGAGAGAGAGGAGAGAGAGGGAGGGGAAGAGGGAGAATAAAAGAAAGTAGGGTGAAAAAAAAGAATGAATGAGAAGAATTAGATGAACTAGATAGATAGAGATAGATAAATAGATAGATAGAGATAGAGAGGAGAGAGAGAGAATGAGAGAGAGAAAGAGAGGAAGAGAGCGAGAAAAAAAGAGAAAGAGAGAGAGTGAGAGAGAGAAAAAAGAGAGAGTGAGAAAGAGAAAAAAGAGAGAGAGAGTGAGAGCGAGAAACAGACGAAGAGAGAGAGAGAAAAAACGAAAGAGAGAGAGAAAAAACGAAAGTGAGAGAGAAAAAACGAAAGAGAGAGAGAAAAAAACGAAAGAGAGAGAGAGTGTGAGGGTGAGAGAGAGAGAGAGAGAGAGAGAACGAAAGAGAGAGAGTGTGAGGGTGAGAGAGAGAGAGAAAGAGAGAGAGAGAGAGAGAGAGAGAGAGAGAGAGAGAGAGAGAGAGAGAGAAAGAGAAAGAACAGCTAATAGGTGAAATTCAATATGTTAGTAAATCGAATAATTTTATTTAAATTTGGGGGATCCAAAAAATTACTGGTTCACA